CAGATTTATCGGCATTCAATGAGCCAACTAATGTCAAACGGCGACACGCGTTATCCGGATAACACAGATCTTTACAATGAGCGAACGATAGAGAGAGAAACGATGCTGAACTGCGTTCGATCTGCTCTTGTACATACTTTGTTCTTCAGGTAGATATTTACACATTTTATGTAATTATATAACAGTTTGAAGTAACATGCACGCTTTGGTATTTCTCGTGTAAAGTTTCCTATAAGATATTTTATTTCACAGATCACGTATGTGCAAGTGTTTTTAATGAACATTTTTTTATCATTTCAAATTTAATTTGAAATTTAATTTAAATTGTTTTAATTATATTAGAGTATCTCTTCATATTATAATATTAAAGTTTGAAAAGAATCATTTATAAATTATTCGATCGGTTACATAAATGAGTCATCTTGTTTTATTCAGCACTCCCTCGCGTGTTTATCGCGGGCAAACAGATTTGCGAAATTAAAATAACTGCGGCTCTAAAGGGGATCTTATTTCATAGCGCTGTCAAAAATTCTGCAAAATACCTGTCTCGAAAAATAAAATTTGATTTTATTCGAAAGCGCTCGAATTCGCTCCCTCTCTTTCTCTCTCTTTTCAATATTAGCGATGGAAGAGAGATGCTAGAACTCAATGGACAAAATTCACACATCAAAGCGCTTGTCGTTCGAGGTCGACATTGTTAGCCTTGAATTTCATGCCTGCGCGCCGCGTTTCTTACGTACACAGCAGTTATATATCCCTATCTTGTTTAACTTTCCCTGTTTACACACCGCATCGCGGCGGGAGAGATGGACAAACGGACTGACGGACGGCAGTTCCCTTGAAATAACAATTCGCTGCGCGCGCCTCGGCTCGTCGCTTTCGATCGCTTCGAATCTTTCACGAGTGCGCGCGCGCGCAGAACCTGGTTGGATTTGTACCTCGTGCGAGCATTCACGGTATAATAAAATACGTACAATATGTGTATCCTACGCGCGAATCCTACGCGATTATCGGAACTGGAAATGTGTGACGTGTCCGTGTACATATATAGTTATGCATGGACTCTCTTAAACTGAATCGGTGCAAATAATTGAGATCTCTTGTCGCTGATTAAAGCAGTGACACGGTTTCATTGAAAAAGGCACACTATCAATTATTTATTATTGATTATTCTTCTTAGTGAGAATGAAAAAGTAAAGTATGTACACGGAGAGAATTTTCTTTTAGAATTTATCCTGAAAATATCGTGGTAATCTTAGAACAATATATGGTACTGGAAGAATTTTATAAGAGTTTCTCTAAATGCATAGTAAAATTTATCGAACATATTTTATATCAAAGAAATTCTTATGAAATTCTTCCAATAAATTGTTCTGATTACTATAATTTTCAGGGTAAATTTTAAGAGAAAATTCTCTCCATGCATGCTTAAATGTCTGCAAAATTTTCATGTTTAATTTAAAGTAGATATAAAAACGAAGGAGATTGATAGAAGAGAGATTGTTAATAAATTTAAGAATTTAATTCTATAAGAGAAAATTCTCTCCGTGATAGAATAGAAAATTTAATAGCTTTATAATGATAACATAAAAATAAAGAATAATTTATTAATAGCTTCAATTACAAATATATAATAGCAAATCAGTGAAGTCTTACCGAAAGAATCAGTTAATGATAGTAGCCCTTTCACAATCACAAAATTAAAAAATCTTATAATATATTACATACGAAATATAAATAGAACTCTCCTCACTATGAAAGAAGTCACAAGAATGTTTGCTGATACACCTGAAGATCCTGGACGCTAGATCAGCTGTTTTACGTCATTGTCGTTACCTTTCGAACTAGAAACCAGAACGTTTGAGCAGAAAAAGAATCGCGAAAATAGAGGATCAATTTAGACGAGAAGGGATTAAAACCCCACGGAAGCGCGAGATCTAGAAGATCTACGTCACACAAAATTCCTACGTCACACATCCCGCATGTGAGCTCGCGAGGCAGAAGTAAATGACTGTTTGTAGATCTCTCGAAGTCTCGGCGTACGTAGCCGAAAACTCGAGCCTCGAGTGGATTATCGGTAGAAAAGGAATTAACGAACGGGAGCAGCGAAAGAGTACTTTCCTCGTCTAGTACCTCTTCGTGGCTTTTAGATAAGGCCTCTCACCCCTACGCGAAACCGGTCGTGCCACAAAGCGTGCGTAAAAATTCACGCAACGCGAACGACGGGGAAGACTAGTTTCTTTCGCGTTAATGTTGCACAAGATGAATTTGCACGGTTTATTTTTGCCAATAATTCCGGACTTCATTTTCTAAGTAAACAACACACGTATGTGTAACATGATCTACCCTGAGTTTTTAATGTAGGTACATGAAAATATAAGTAACAGCATAAAAAAATAAATTACTTGTGTAATTATATAATTGTAGAATCCATAAGACAAATATTTTATTTAAGAAATTATTTTTGATAGTTATTATCAAATTGATATTTCATTTAGAATAACAATCCATTTTTATATCTCCATTTTTTTACATAATTATCCATCCTTTTATTAAATATGTATTAATTACGAGTGTCTTTACGAGCCGAGAATTTTCTCTTAGAAAATCAAAGAAAATCGTAGGACAATATGGTATTGAAAAAATTTTACAAGAGTTTCTTTGATTAAATATTTACCACAATAAAAAATATCAATATGTACATAATAAATTTTACTATGTGCATATTTGATATCTTAATATTTTTTATTGCGGTAAATATTAATTATAGAGAAACTCTTATAAAATTCTTCCAATACCATATATCATCCCACGATTACCATAATTTTCAGGATAAATTCTCTCTGTATATTACGATCTCGTCTTATAAAGTTGGCAAACAAAATAGTGTAAATTCGAAGACGCAGATGAAATAATAGACTGGCAGAAAATATAATCGACCGCTGGTATTCCAGCCACGTTCGGGGAACGAACAGGGCACACACCCCCGAGTGGGGTAAAGAGGAATTTTCGAGGGTGGAGTCGATCCCGCTAATATTCAAAGAATTAGACAGACGGCGGCGAGTTCTCGAGACGCGATCGGCTGGACGGACCCCCTTAAAGTGCTTTCATTGCATTCCCGACACACGCAACTCGGATGTATAATGGGGGGTTGCTTCATGGAACCAAGTTCACCAGCGTAACAACAGCCACTCGACGAGGTTACACGCGGTAACATATGCGCTCTACGAACCAGCACGATAAGAATCAAAACGAATCAAACGCACGTAACCGAGTTTTGTATCTCGTCGATCGGAGAATCCTGCATGGCATCTGACAAATTTTAAAATGTGAAAACTCCATGTTCATATACTCATTCGCAAACTTAATGTTCAGCGAGCATCTAAGTTTCCCTATATATCATATCTGGATTCTGAATTTATATGCCATACGCACAAAATGGTGTTTAATTGAAAAAGTATTTCCTAAGAAAAGTGCTATAATTTTTATTTAATTAACCGAAGAATTTCTTTTTTTAGCCTAGTGAAAGGAAAGGCGGTTTTTTGAGTTTTCGCTAGGAGCAGTCGCGTGCGATTAGGGTCGCTCGAGGCCGCTTTTACGGCAATTGAGCTAAGCGATCGGGGAGTCCGCGCGCAGCCGCCTGAACGAAATCGGGATCGACATCTGCTTATGACAGTGGCGCGTTATAATCCGCGCTATATGCATTATGCACGCTTCACAGAGGCGGTCTAATCGTATTCACACATTGTTGTCCGGCCACGAAAACAGCGAGCCATACATCTTACCGGTTCATTTAATTTTTAATAGATTTCGCTCAACGCACACACATATGTCGGTTCGAAACACCAAAAAAATTTGAAAAATTTACTCTATTTTATAAGAATAAGTTTATGTAAAATATGTAAATTATTCTAGAAAGAATTTCCTTTTAGATTTTACCCTGAAAATTGTGGTAATCGTGGGACAATATGGTATTCGAAGAGTTTTATAAGAGTTTCTCTGATTAATATTTATCACAATAACAGTATTGATATCTATCACAATAAGATATAAAATATATTTAATCGGGGTAAATTGTAAGAAAAATTCTCTCTGTGTACATTTTATTTTAATTGCCAAAAAGAGGTATAAATAATATCGTAATAAAAGTCGCTCTCCTTTTGACATCTTCATTAAGGAAAAATCAATATTAAATTTGTTATACGAAGAATGAAATAATCGAAAGACCATTTATTGATCTCAGGACATTTTTTAAATATAACGCAATAGATAAAAAATATGATATTTTAATTTGATAGAAGATTTAAAGTATTTAAATTCTCGAAATATAGTGAAAAATGAAATTGTTTTCAACATTCTTGCGCGTATAAAATTCGTAATAAAACGGGGGCGCGTCTCGATAGAGAAGTCTTTTATGAAACTCATAGGTCTCCTTATTCTCTCCTTTCTTACATGAAATATCCGCATAAAGTGAACGAGGCGTTAAATTCCCCTCTCGAAGAAATAACACGGACTTCTAACTGTGGATTACGGACTTAGAGGATCGGAATATATGTATAGCTAGAGGCCGGTTGAAAGTGCGCGTCTGACAAAGGCCCGTACCCCCGCCTTTGAGAAAACATTTCAGGAACCCTACCTGGCGAGATATAGTTCGCGTACGAGACATGTCGTCCGTTTTATTTCGACATAAGAGACTTGACGCTGCCGCTGATCTTAAAGCTTCGTAGAACTGTGTATTTTTTAGACTTTCATACCGAGCTTTTTCTCAAATTAAAAATTCCCAGGTGTAAAATCTATGATTTTAATCGTGAAGCTAAAGAGATCATATATCGTGCATATTGTTGCATCTCGTCGAAACTGAATAGATAATTCGAGGATTCTCTATTTTCTCTATTTTATCGCGAAATCTCGACGCGGTATTATTCAACGTAAAGCACCAATTACGGTATTAATTACTCTGTTCAATTAAGGTCTAATTGTTTTTTTTGTTTGTTTTGCAGGTGAAGATATGGTTTCAAAATCATCGGTACAAGTGCAAGAGGCAAGCAAAGGAGAAAGCTATGGCCGAGCAAAACGCCCAAAACCAGGTAATTACACAAAGTCTCGTATCGTAAACTCTTTCGAGGATAAAACGCTCGTTGAATATAAAATAAATTCTGTAAGAATACAATATAGAACCAAGAGATATCTAACAAATTAATTTAATACAACTAATTAATTAAACGCTTATTGCTATTATTTAATAAATACATAGGTAGGTATATGATTCTCATTTGTATCCAATTTATCATGAAATTTATTATACAGTAAGAATATTCATTTCTAAATTGACAGACGAAACTGTCAAGAAATAACGCGCGATTTAATATAGAGATCCTGTGATACTGCAAAAAATAAATAAAATTTATGCCTGCTAAAGAGATCTCCAGCGTTGAGGACATTTTTCGACTATAGAGAAAAATCACACGCACCAAAATTTTGACGATAGTAATCTAGTCAGCTGTCAGATACACATTTTCCTTCACGCACTCGTCATCGAGATCTTGCTATATCCTGTCTTCGTGTACCATCGTTCCGACGATTTTAAAACAATGACAGTCGACGCACTCGACGAAAATGTCGCGTTCGATCGATCCGAAATAAAATGGCTTTAAATGAGAAATATCACGGAAGCCGCATAAATCCTCGCGTCCGCATCATATTTCGCTTCGAGAGCGCCACTCGAAAGCGATTTTGCATTTATTTTGTTATGTCATTTGGGATTTCCGAGGGAGATCGCGCGTCGTCGTCGACGAGAACGATAAAATTGCTCGCGTTGAGCACGTAATCACGCGCGCGTTTTACGCGGCTCAAAAATTTAGCGCGCGGGATTACAATACAGAGCCGGAGCGGAAAATAGCGAGTTTGTATGCGCGCATATCCGTCGTCGGGGCTGAAATTCAATATTATACTATATAATCCAAGTTAAAAATGCACGAGATATATGTACCTTCGATCGGAATAATCTCCCGCGCTTTAAAGGCATTCTGCGCAGCATATATATATATATATATATACTATTATAATAGGCGCACTTCCTTTGAAATGCGGGAATAATGGTGTATTACCAAATATTTCGGAATTCACTTTTGCCTCCAAGTTATTTTTCCCTCAAATATATTCCGGTATTACATTATTTCAAAGCAAGTGGGAGTTTCATAACACCGGATACGATTTCGTATATGTTTTGTGCAGGATATCTTTACACTTGTAGTTTCGCGAGAATTTAAAAGTGTAGTTTTTTTTCGCAAATTTTTCGAATTTTTTATTTTCTACTGTTTTTTCGGCAAAATTCCACAGCTATCATTTCTGCAATTTTACAGTCTTATTTGGCACAATACTCCGAGTGCTCTAATAAATAAATATAGAAAAAATATAGAAAAATTCTTGTCAGATTAATATACTTAAATTTATCAAAAATTTTATAAGCAAGATGTAAAAACTGTATATTATATTCTCATTTCTTTGAAGCTCGATTCAGATGACTGAATTATTTTTTTTAAATTATAGATATCGATATATTTGAACAAAATCAATTTTACATTAATTAAATATACATGCATATAACAGTAATTTGGTAATATACTTAAATGATACACGGAGAGAATTTTCTCTTAGAACTTATCCTGAAAATCATGGCGATCATGGGACAATATATTAGAAGAATTTAATAAGAGTTTCTCTCTTATTAAACATATTTTATATCTTATTGTGACAGATGTTAATATTTTTTATCGTGGTAAATATTAATCAGAGAGAAACTCTTATAAAATTCTTCCAATATACTATATTGTCCCAATTATTCAAATTCAAATTCTAAGAGAAAATTATTTCCATATACTTACACGGCATTATAATCATTCAGTCAACAGCTTGCTTCTTTTGAAAATAAATTTATAGGTGAATAAAAAATCCATCTGCAATAAATTAATATCATTTTCATTCATCTTTCGCACATTGCGTCATTCAACATATTATTCCCCAAAACTTTAGTATTTGTCTATCAAAATAAACGACATATGCGCACACGATAAACAATGTTCGATGCAGTGTTAAAATAATCGATATTGTATTTTTATTGAATATTTTTCGTTTGAAAAATTTGAATAGGATAACGATATATCGCGAGTAATTTCCAACAGACGAGATCGTCGAGATATCGGTAGATGCAACTTCGAAACGTGCCATGTCTCTCGGATCTTTCCGACGCATAATCGAACACGAATTGTGTCCCGCCCTGCCTTCGGAAGGATCTTATTCAAAAGAAATCGTGATCATACATCGCGATCATACGCGGGTTCCTTTTGAATATATTATAATGTCGTGTATTATATGCATTGTCACGAAAACCGCGAGTGTTCAACGCCGACGGTAAACGTGCGATTCTCGTTAAATTGTCAAATTCACAACTCGAAATGATAAACTATACATATAGAGTAGTGATAAACTAAAATAAAAACGCGACGATTAAATAGTCGAGAGAAAGAGCCCCGACATCAAACTTAATTTTTTTATCCTTCAATTTCTGATGTCGCACCTGAAAATTTGCGAAGCTACTTCCGCAATTAGGAACACAATTTATTTTTTTCTTAAATTGTAAATAATATCTTGGAGTATTGTAAATATATTTGGATTGTTTGCTTTTTTGCCTTTTTTTCATGATGATAAGCGGAAAGAATCGAACACAAATGTGATTTGCAACAAAACAAGGACGCGAGTAATTAAATTTTCGCGCGAAAGTGAAATGTGCCACTTCGTTATCGCTTTAGGTCGGATGATATTTTCGCGAAATATGAGTATCGTTTTGGTACAGACGCGGCGCGACGGTATATGGTAAGCGGATTTTTTTTGTTGCGCACTTTTTCGAGGGACACCGTCGCGCTCATTGAAATTCGATGAGAATATAGTTTACGCGAGAGAGTCGAAATGCACTTCTGAATGATACGTATTTTTTCACTCGGTAGGATATTAGATCCGGAACCAATAGGCTTCACGCGTTTATCGATTATTCGGAGAACGTGCGGAGAGAAAGAATTTGCTGCTGTCGCAGCAAAACCTCATCGCTGTTACTATCTATTTCGACGTAAATACCATCAAACTCCGTAATAATCAACTACTCGATATTGTGAGGCAATCCAATAATTTTGGCGAAAAATTCAAAAGCTGAATAGAAACATTTTCGACTGGAACAAATTTAATAATCAGAAATTACATGAAAATAATTACGAGAGAAAAAATAGAAACATTTTCGGTTAGAATAAATTTAATAATCAGAAATTACATGAAAATAATAACGAGAAAAAAAAAATAAAATAAGAATCCAAAATATAATGCAAGAAAAGCTTTTGTCACGTGTCTCTTGACGTTGTAAAACGTGTCCAATTTTTGTCTGAAATTTGCTCCGATTCAAACAGAGTTTCCCAATCGCGAAGATATACCTGACGGGCCGAGATCGGGACAAGATCGATTATTCTTTACAGTATACAATGGACTCGATGTATCGCGTATAGTGATGCCTCGTAAACAGGCCGTATATAGCATTAATGAAAGTTATCTGACGGACCGATCTGCGCGAGGGCGAGCGATTCTTCCGCCCGGCAGCCACGGCCGGTCGGCCGCCCTATAATTTACTCGTTAGTTTGTCGTGCTTCCGTAGACACGTTTTCATCACTCTCCCTTCTGTCCGATCGCGATTTCTTTCCACTCGCGTTATCTTCGATAATAACGCGATTAGCTATTTTACTCGGTTATATCGTTACTTTACAGTCGCGACTATCATTTTCTCACTTATTTCTTCTGATACTAATTTCACAGAACATCTGCTATTTTTTCACATTTTTAGATTCGAAAAAATCTAACTTTTTATTTATCTATTGCTACATTTTTGTTATATATACTTATATTTTTTAGAGAAATCTTATATGATGCTTTCATTAATTCTGAAAAATTAATTATCTATAAGTAAGTCGATCATCTGTTAATGTGTAACACACAGAGAGAATTTTCTCTTAGAATTTACCATGAAATTATGGTAATCGTGCGTGAGACAATATTGGAAGAATTTTATGTGCTTCTCTGATTAGTATATTATTAATATCTACTACAATAAGATATAAAAAATATGTTCGATTAATTTTACTATGTACATATTAATATTTTTTGTGGTAAAAATTAATCAGAGAAACTCTTACAAAATTCCTTCAATATCATATATTGCCCTACGATTACCATGATTTTCAGGGTAAATTCTAAGAGAAAATTCTCTCCGTGTATGATTATAATAAAACTCTTGTCAAAATCGATACACATCTTTGATAAATCGATCAAATGTGTTTGCTTGCATGTTCCACAAAATAAACTCTTGATGTGAAGAGAATAAGTATGAACTCTGAACTTGAATCTAATATCAATTTATAAATCTTTATCAATAACTAGATTAACATAATTTAAACAACCTTCTCGATATAATATTGAAACGCGAGAAATGCCTGTCACAGGAAAAAGATTTATTATTATAGGAATCCGCTATTCTTCAACATCTTGTCGCATCGCAATGCAAATCGCAAGACGTCTAATATATGTTAAGGAAAATAAATAATAGAATCACACAATATATTAAATCAGCCTATACAAACATAAAGCTTTAGATTTTTTTATCAGACAGTCATGTCGCGAATATGTAGATATATGATACATCAAGAATGTCTAGAATCTGTCGAGGTGTTCAAACCGGAGCTTCGCAATCGCGCGTAAAAAACACGACTCGCGAAGACGATGTTGATGAAAAAAAAAAAAAAAAAAAAGAGACGACAGGGTGCTGCGACGACTTCTCCGACATATGCCGGTGGTAGCGTTCAGATTTTTCCCCTTTTTCATTTTATTCCATTTCCACCCTTCTCGCGGAGGTAAAAATTTCAAGTATCGGTGCGAAAGAGCGAGCGAAGGGGAGAAAAGAGAGAGAGAAGGGACGAAGGAGAATATAGATCCGAAAGGGGGAAAGAGAAAGATGAAAAAAAAAAAGAATGAGCGAGATGAAAACAAGGAAAGA